CCGGGAGCGGCTGTGCGCGGCCAGAGCCGCCTGCGTCTTGACCTACGAGCTGGTGCTCAGTGACCCGCTGGAGTTCCATCAGATGCTGGTCCGCGTCCTGGACACCAACGACAACGCGCCCCGGTTCGCCGCCGGCGACGTGCAGCTGCACATCCCCGAGTTCCTGACGCCCGGGGCTCGCTTTCCCCTCCCCGACGCTCAGGACGCGGACGAGGGAAGCAACGGGCTGCTGAGCTACAGTCTGAGCCCCAGCCCGCACTTCCACCTGGCCCTGGGGGCGCGGGCCGACGGCAGCCCGTCCCCCAAGCTGGTGCTGGAGAGAGCGCTGGACCGCGAGCAGCGCGCCACCCACAGGCTCGTGCTCACCGCTCGGGACGGGGGGCTGCCCGGACGCTCGGGGGAGGCGCGAGTCACCATCATCGTGGTTGACACCAACGACAACGCACCGGTGTTTGAGCGCTCCGTCTACCGCACAAAGATTCCAGAGACTGCCCCCAATGGGAAGGCTCCAATGGGGAAATCCGCTACGCCTTAAGCGATAGCACGCCCGCAGAGCTGAGGCGTCGTTTTCACGTGCACCCTAGAAGTGGGGAGGTGCGTGTAGCTGCCCCTCTAGGCCCGCCTGAAACGTTACTGGAGGCATACATTGACGCCAGGGATGAAGGTGCCTTTAGTCTAGCTAGCACAGCCAAACTGCGTGTGGAGGTGACTGACGTGAATGACCATGCCCCCGAGGTGAACCTCATGACTCTCTCCAGCCCGGTTCCTGAGGACGCTGCCCCAGGCACCGTGATTGCTCTCCTCAGCATAAGGGATGAGGACCTTGGTCCCAATGGTAGGGTCACTTGTAGCATGTCCAGTGGAGGCCCCTTTCAATTAAAGCTTTCGTTTGACAATTACTACAGCCTTCTGACTGATGGGCCGCTGGACCGGGAGCAGGTGAGTGAGTACCAGGTCCTGATCGTCGCCACAGATGGTGGCTCGCCCCCGCTTAGCACACGTCGGACACTGACTGTGCAAGTGGCTGATGTGAATGATAATACACCAAGCTTTCCACAGTCACAACAGCAACTCTTTGTAGCTGAAAACAATGGTCCTGCGGCCTTTCTGGGCCGCGTGTTTGCCCAAGATCCAGACCTGGGAAAGAATGGCCTTGTCTTCTATGAGCTGTTGGATGTTAACTCTGAAGGTCCACCAGCTTCTGACTTGGTGACAGTGGACTCATCCAGCGGGGCTATTATGGCCAAAGCATCCTTTGACTTTGAAAGGCTCAGGGGGTTTCCCTTCCAAGTGGAAGCCAGAGATGGTGGCATTCCTCCCAGAAGTGCGACAGTGACTGTGAACTTGTTTGTAGTGGATAGGAACGACAATGCTCCAGTTGTCTCGTTTCCTTTGCCCAGGAATGGCTCTTTACCAGTGGAAATTGTGCCTCGCTCTGTCAGAAGTGGACACTTGGTCACAAAAGTTGTAGCAGAGGACGCAGACAGTGGCTCCAATGCCTTGCTTTCCTACCATATATCGCATTCTTCAGATTCTGGTCTTTTCAGAATCTCAGCCAGTATGGAAGAGCTGAGTACAGCTCGCTCGGTTCTTCCCACAGATGCAGTTAAACAGCGAGTGGTGGTAGTGGTTCAGGACCATGGAGAGCCACCACTTTCTTCCTCTGTCGCTCTCGGTGTGCTATTGAGCGACTCTGCCCCTCAGGTCCTTCCAGACTTTGAAGATGTCTGGGAAACAGGAGGACGGCTTTCTGCACAGAACATGTTTTTGATCATTGCTCTGGCTTGTATTTCTTCTTTATTTTTGGGGTGCTTACTTTTCTTCTTGTGCCACAAGTTGAACCAAAGCCTCGTCTGTTGCTCTCCAGGCTGCTGTGCAGTTTGTTGTTGCTCTCCAGAGGAGCTGAGGTATGGAGAGAATATGACTTCGAATCCTTGCATGACATCAACTACAATTGATGTCACTACAGTTGAGAGATTGTCTCATACCTATCTTTATCGGGCTTCTCTGGGACTTGGTTCTGATAACAAGAGTTTGCTGTTGTGTGGGGAATACAGTGCTGCTGACCTGAGGAATATGGCCACTCGGGTAGGATTGAATTTGCCAATATCCTGTATTCAGATTCCGAACAGGAAAGGAGATCATGCAAATGCCAATGTCATGGTAAGCAAATGTTATTGGCGCTGGTTTCCTTGGCCAGAACATGGCCACTACCTGTGTTCTGAAATGTTTCTTAAGTGAGCCATTGGTGACATTTAAATTGAACATGCCTGCTTTTATACCTTGTACTAAGAAAACTGCCTTTCAACGTAAAGAGCTTATAGTTTTGTTTGTTTGTTTTTAACTCAAAGAAATGAGTCTAAAAGCTCAAACTTTGAAATAAAAAATTAAAACACTGTAACCTAAAGACCCCAAATAAAAGATACAAAGTTCCAAAGCTTCTAGCGCAAGTAATAAACAGCCTGGGACTACTTTAAATAATTCCTTACAGGAATTCCTATAATGAATTGCTTATAGCATATACTCATTCTTTGGACATATTTCTTGAGCCACTGTTATGTGTGAGGCACTCCGATAATGGAAAGCACGTAAGAGCCTTTCTATAATATGAGTTCAAATTCAATCATTGAAGTTGAGACATTTATTCAAACCATTGTAATACATGATAAAATAATGATGGCCATAAGAAATGGAAAAATAAGTTGTACCGAGTGTTCCAAGAATGGATAAAAAATTGAGAGATGATATAGGTTGAGAGGGGTGGGTCAGAGATGTGGTAGGATTGGATCTTGACTGATACACCATTTAATTAAATTGGCATGATTTATAGTTATATTCTTCATGAGTATTATTTTGGAACAGTAGTCTTTTTGAGAATGACACTGCAGAATATAGCTAGCAGCTCCATAGAAGTGTTTTGTAATATAAAAAGTATAACTAGATAATAGTACCTCTAGGTTTATTTTAAGTTTATTTATATTCAAATATCACAAAGAAGAAAAATGACTACTTGATAAGTTGGAAACATTTGCATGTTCAAAGCTGCATTTGCTATTCAAAATCCATTTACCTGGATTTAACTTTCTTAGTATTTTACAAGTCAAATACACTTAGAAAATAAATAAATAGCCTATTTGAGAGTTATGCATCTATTAAGAGTTAAATGAACCAAGTTTTTGTTTGATTTATCCAAAGGCCCTTGGCCTTTCAAAACCTCCAGATGTATTTTCTAGCAATTCTACAATATTACTTTATATATATTATATGTATTAATATAAGGAAGGAGGTATACAGATATTAGGGAAAGAGTTCGAAGCATTTCTTGTACTATTCCAGGTGATCAATGGGTTAAAAGTTATTCTCCTTCAAGTAATATTAACTGCAAATAAAATAGGTTTACATCTATCATAATTTTGCATACATTCTATTCTCACAATGTGTAATGAAAAACACCTTATAGATATGCTTAGCAAATACTTTGCTGAGATAATGAATAAATACATGCATGTGTGAATTGGATGGTTAAACTATTCAACATAGAGGGAAAATCTTTAACTTACCTTTTTACTTTGATGTGTAGATATAGTTAAAGGTTTAAAGGCAATTTTCAAATATATGATTTCAATGATTATTATCTTCATCTAGATGTATGTATACTGATGAATATAACATAAAAATAATTTTCAGATCATGGTGGTTATAGGTTGGGCTGCTAACTAAAAAGTCAGCAGCCAAATACACTTTACTTAGTATTTAGAAGCTAAATGCACTTAACCACCAGCGGTTCTGAGTGAGAAAGCATGAGACTTTCTACTCTTGAAAGAGTTACAGTCTGGGAAACCCGAGGGGGTTGGAGTTCTACTTAGTCCTTTAGGAAAGCTATGAGAATTGGCTCAATGCCAATGAGTTTAGTTTTCTTTTTTTAATTAAAAAAATTAAAATAATTTTGGTGGGGGCTCTTAGAGCTCTTATAACAATCCACACATCTATTGTGTCAAGCACATTTGTACATATGTCGCCATCAACCTTTCCAAAAGTTTTATTTTTGAGAGCCAGCATAAAAAACCTTAATGTTGTATTCAGGGGCCAAGTATGAGGCCAATTCCTAAGCATAACAAAAGGTTAATGATGTGGTGCGCATCATTATATTATGACATTTGCAGTGAACATTAGTAGAATCAGCATATTTTAAGGGAAAGTGTTTCATTGTAATATGAATATTTCAGGCATAAAAAGAATATATAAACTTTTTCTATCAAGACAATTCACCATTTTATTTATTTTCTTGATTTCTGTGCTAAAGAGAGATGAAAATACTGATGGTAGCTCTGAAGTTTGAGAGTCAGGGGTTGTGTGAGGAATATAGTTTAAATGGATTAGAAAGGAAATAAGGATAGGGAGACCAGTGGTTTTGAAGGTTAGATGGAAAATTAGCTATTATCATTTAATAGTCAAAGACTGACTTCATGACAGGTAAGAAGAAAAGAGAAAAAATACTCCCTTCTCCCAATATTTTACCTACATGAATGATGAACAAAACAACAGATACATTGGTCATGTGTGCAGGAATATTGTGCCATGCCATTTGTATACTTCAGCAATCTTTAAAAATATTTTTGTCAATGTTAGATTTTTAGGCAATTCAGTATCTGCTAATACTTTTTGTTGGCTTGTGCTTGGAGAGCTCTGGTGGCAGACTGGTTACGCATTAGGCTGCTAACTGCAAGGCCATCAGTTTGAAATCACCAGCTGCTACAAGGGAGAATGATAGGGCTTTCAACTCCCGTAAACATTTATAGTCTTGGAAACTCTACCCTGTCTTAAAGAGTCGCTATGAGTTAACATCAACTCTTTGGCTGTCAGGTGAGTATATCTCTTATATACAAAATAAGTATGGCACATAAAACATGAATAAAATAGCTTTTGAAAAACTAGAATATGTGTAATTCACAGAGGCATTTATTACTGCTTTTTCTCCAACTACATCGATTCAATCTTGGATCGTTAGAAAAGAATTCTTGTCTTAGTGTTCACTGAATGCCTTCATGAGAACTCTCAAATTATAGAAACAAAATATTTATTGCTTGAATTTTAGGAAACAAATCATTTTAACTGTGCTGGAGTCATATAAACCATATTGATGCATTTGTGTTTATAGTTTATCCAAATTCTAAGCTCTTTACTCTTAGTTTATAGTGCATATTAACATAGTTTTATGTACTAAAATGTTGTCAATTTTAGAAATTCAGAACAATATGATTTTTATCTACATCTCTTCTAGTAATACTTAATAGCTATAAGTAAAATTGATCCATTAATTATATAATAACCTGGCAACAAGTTTCATGTCAACATTTTTCTCTTACGATTCTTAATGAGCAATTTAATTTTCTTAGATTGGTATTTAAGAAGGCACTTCTCAGATGTAAATTCCTATTTGCCATTTTAAAATTGATTACATTGGCAACTTGTTTTAGATAATACATATTAATACTGCAAAATGCTTGGAGCACTCAGCTTATAAATATCTTTATT